ATCTCAGATGTCTACGGGTGAAAAGTCAGCGGACTGGAGAACGGGAATTATTGCACTCCTGTTCAGGAGAAGCCACAATGAGTGCTCCAATTATAGGGGCATTACGTTATTGAACCTCTCAGGTAAAGTGTACGGAAACTTGTTAGAATGGAAGCGCCGCGAAATGACTGATTCCAAGATGCCATAAGAACGGTATGGCTTTCGGCCTGGTCGAAGCACCTCTAGCCACATATTTACCCTGCGTTAGACTGTTAGAAATCGTGGGTGTGCGCTCGTTCAGTGTACATATGTTCTGTTGACCTAGAAAATGCCTATGAGCTGATCCCACGCAACAACGTGTGGTCATGCCTTTGAGTATACGGGATAGATGACCAGCTACTAAAAGTCATGCAATCACTGTATTGTGATAGCAGTTGCTTGTAGATTAAATGGCACTAAGTCGAAACCCTTGACGTTGGCACTGGTCTCCATCAAGGCTGAGTCCTATCCACTGTCTTGTTTGTGTTGCTTATGGATGGAGTAGTCAGGAGCTCCCAAGAGGATGTGTATATCGATGTAGGCGAAGTGAAGACGAGAAGGTTGCGGTTTGCAATCGACCTGGTATTACATGCATCTTTTGAAACTGATCTGCAGTGCTTCCCAGAAATGTTCACAACCGAGTACGACGAAAAGCCTAGTGCAACGACGACGTTCTGCTGCCCTTTGCTCAGATTGACGGAGAAGTTCAACTACCTCGGAGTCGCATTTACTAGCAATTGAAAATTTAAGGAAGAAACGAACTGTGAATTTGAGTAGGCTGCGGCGTTGTGTGTAACTGACCAGTTCTATTGCGACTAAAGGAGAGCTCATGCTGAAAACTAAGCTCTCGGTCGATCTTCAAGTCGATCTTCATCCCCATGGTTACCTACGGTCATGAATCATAAGCCATCACTGAGAACTTCGATTCCGGGTGCACGCTGCTGAAATGGGCTTTTTTTTAACTATTCGCTGGCTTTACGCGTCTCGATATGGTCCAGAATACTGACATCCGGAAGAGCCTTGGTATACAGTCTCTGCTTCTCTAGATTGAGAAGTCACAGGTACGATGGCTTAAGCATATGTTGCGAATTCCTCCAGAAAGGAAGGCTAAGCAACTGTTCCTTGCAAATCCGACCGGCAAAAGGCCCAGGGACGGCCAAGATAACCTGATGCAAAAATGTGGAAAGAGTGTGTTTAAGATTTCAGTTGTCTTCTGACGAAGGCTCAGACTGTGGCACAAGATCAGGAACGTTGGAAGCTCTGCCTGATGCGTCTGCATTCGCCACAAGAAAGGAGAAACGGCCACGAAGGATTACGGGTTTTCACATTAAATTCGTGTTTGGTTACTGATTATCTGGCACGTCACTGAGCTGCGGATAGGGTAACAATATCTAGATGTGGAATCCGACTACGGGACGGAAGCATCCATACAACTAGGGCACTATTGGGTTTTAGATTCGGAAGTTTGATCCTCAAAGAATAAATAGGAAAACCACGTGAGCCTCAGGTAGAAACGATTGCTGCCCGCCTTTTTGAAAAACTTTGAGGACGTAAAAAATATTCAGCAAATACAGGTTTTTAATAAATACAAAAGCGTCAAATCAGAATGTGGCTATATTATATTTTCACTGATAGTTGTTCAGTATATATGCGGAAAATTCCGTTTTTATTTATAGTAAGATTGAAACAATAAAGAACATGTATTTGGAAACGAGGTTTGTCGACTGATTAAGAAAGTCCATCAAGATTAGTAATGATGATTAGCGAAAGTGCGTAAACTGTGATACCAACAACATCAATTGCTAGCTTAATCAGAAAGGACTATTCGCAATTGAAAATGATCAGCAGAATCAGCACCCTTTAAATAGCTGATCGAATCACAAAGATTAAAGCTGTCAAGGGAGAGAATCGTTGTTGACCTGTTTTAATCACCCATTGCACAAGAAATTTATGAAAGCAGCTTCTAAGCATCTAGAAACTGAGAATATCTATAAACTATTCTTGCACGAACAGAATTACTGCGGCAGTCAACATTACATCTTCTTGCCACTGTTCATCGGTAGTTAGAGGGAAGATGGTTTGTGAATGGTTGAGGTATAATGGATCGAGAGCAGTACCATTTTGTTTTTCATGTAAATTTCCAGTGATTACGTGCCCTAAAGTATATTTTAGAAAGTGTGATGGAACCATTCAACGCTGAAAGAAATTGTGGCTATTCAAGCCGACTCATCGATTGGAAGCGAAAACCACAGCAAATTGTGTAATAAAATTGTGACCAGTTTATAATTAAGGGATATTTAATTTAGTTTTCATTAAATTGTTGAATGGTGAGGATGATAGCGTACTAACCTTACCGTACCTTTAAAGAGTGAAATTATTTGAAATTGTTTTCAGGTTCAGAAAAATAGTTTATTGTCATTTGCAATTTCTGCCGATCGTAAATAACTACAAACTGTTTAATTAACTCATAATCATAAGCAATTCAGCAAAGAAAAGTTATAAAAAAAATTTCCACAAAAAATACATCTCTCAGAAGCGAGACATTTGCTTACCTGCTGGAAACGATTAACTGCAATTTTGAGCTAGTGAAGCACAAAGTATACAAGTGACAGCAAAAACTGAAGATTACGACAATCGCAACTGCTGCATCGAACCCATAGGTGGCGGTCGTTCAACAGCCATGTTATTAGATCTCACTGTGGTTTCTTCTTCATCCCCCTCTGTGCCCATCTGATGTACAGTTTGGAAAACTATGGGACCATTGCCATCGTTGTCTCTCACTTCGCTCTCTTCCACTGACCCGACTTGAAGCATCTGGCCGTCCATCATGTCGATTCTGTCAGCAGCTGCCGCGACGATAACAACGTTGTCATCCAGAGACTCGGTCTGTGCTTCTACCGAATTAGTGGGCATCATACCGACATCTGTACAACCGATACGAGGCTGAGGAAGACGAGTGCGCATGAAGGACTGATGACCTCCACGCAGCATCGCACGCCTGCTGCGTTTTACATGATTGTTAATCACGTGACGATCTAGATTCCTTTTTGTGATACACGAATAGTCGCAATGGGTGCATGTGTACGGCTTCTCGCCTGTATGGCACCGCGTGTGAACGGTAAGAGCAGAACTGGTGCGAAAACGCTTGTCGCAAAAAGAGCACTGAAACGGTAGCTCGCCGGTGTGTATACGATAATGCGTGCTGAAGTTATGTCTAAAGCGGCAATGTTAAAAGTATAAGTCAAAAAACCTGAAAGCACATTTTCCTTACCGATACAACACCAGACCGCAGGTTGGACATTCCATCTTAGGTCTTATCTGTTTTCCATCCTCGCCCACTGGAAATGATCGTCTATACTTCTTGACAGGGGGTTCGGCCAATTCCAGCAAAGGAGGTGGTTCAATGTCTTCGTCATCGTAATTTGGAGGGTTAGCTAACGTGACCTGTCCAGCCTCACGGTTATTTCCGCCAAAGTACGAATGACTGGTCGACGTATCTTCACGACCGGGCATATAGCTTGAGGGCTAAAATATCTTCAGCCAATAGTTTCATGCTCTAATTAAAATTCGAATCGCTTAAGCAATTCATAATAAAAACAACTTTGCAATCATTGGGACATAATTTTTCAAGACTGATCATATTTGTGGCACAATATTTGAAGGAACTTAGGGGAATAGATTTTCTCAATGTTGATGCCATTATTCAAGCATGTTTTCTTTCGTTGAAGCACCGGCCATGTTTATGTGGCAATTATTACAGGGAGCCACATATTTCCTTACCTCACATTGACAAGCACTTATGAAACTAACCAAGGCTTCAAACCCGCAATATCTTTACACTCCAAGTTATCCAAAATACATGGCAGAGATAGAAGACAGAGCTACCATCTCAGAGAGTAATGTCAGGAAAATCGAAATATTTCTTGCAAAAACCCTTGCAATTCATCCTCATTAAAAGTTACATGTACAAGTGGCGTTTTATCTGTTTATCTGTTTAGAGTGGCGTTTTCATGTGTGATATGAATTTCTGAAGAAATATATCACGCGACTTTCGTAATGATTTAAAACAAATAAAAACAATAAAAAGACATGCGCTTATAAAGCAGGCGGTACCTCTTCATAAGAATATCCATCAACGTTCCCAGTTGTAGAATGGTCGTTTTTGCCTGATGACTGAGACTTGAAAATGTCATTGCCAGCCTGAACATCTGAACTACTTTCGTCACCATTTGGTTTATCCGTTTCGTCTTTTCCTAGGCCGTTGGATTCGTTCAGCACAGTGCTAGCGGTCATTTCCAAAGAATCAAGGACACAATTCTCAACGTGAAAAACGAGCTCTTCAATGGAACGAAAACTTTTGCCACATTCGTCACAGGCGAAACATCGCCGAGGAGACTGCTGATAGACAAGTCGTTCCGAAAACATGTCACCTAAACATATAGTGTTAGACCATCAAATGCATGAACATAAAAACCACCATGGAAACCATGTAAATGTCATAACCATAAATATGCTCAGAGTTAATCTCGCAGGGAAAAGAAAACGAGACATAAATAAAAGATATTTAATTACACAAGTCAAAGGTTACGGATTCAAGACAAGTCATCAACCATTTTGCATACTAAGATGTCTTTTGAGTCAGTGGATAGTCCGGAAACAGAGTGGAAGCCGTCGGAGGAGTTTGCAGCATTACGGTCGTAAGGAAGGTCATTGAGAAACTTGGACAGTTCAGCATCTCTGGATGTAGCGCCAGCACAACTAGCAGGTATATCGTTCAAACACTGCTGCAAATTGCGGTAGACGGCATCAAACTGTGCAACGAAACGCTTAACGACGATGCGCCGCTCTTGACCCTGAACTTCCAACATCAACTTAAGCGTTTCTCTTGCTTGATGAGGTCTGTACTCGTTGATCAAGTGGTGCATGTTGATGAAGAGTAACTGCAAATCCTCAATTTTCCTCTCGCGTTCAGGTGAAGATGGACAACGAACAAGAATCTCGAGTAAATCCAAAAAATTTGCCAGAATGCTGTGATTAAGTTTCTTCATTTCAACCTTTCGATCGAAATTGGGACCGATCTGAAAAAGACGTCGTACGTTCTGAGACTCCAGCGACTGGATAATCGGATCGTCCGTTGAATATCCGACACCGAACATGCTGTAATGCCCTCAAACAAACTGTTAAAATGCATGATTTAATAGCCGATAAGCTTTACCTTGAACTGGTGGAGGCGGAGGAAGAGCTAAGCCATCGGCTATGTTTTTGTCTGTGTAGTGGTTGATATAATGAATTGGGGGAGGAGGGAATGAACTAACCTGCTGGATGCTGTCTTCCATTTTTGAATAACGCCTAACATATAGATAGTTAAGAAAAGAGCGCCAAATATATTCAACAACAAAATTCGTCTCTCTGACTGGTTTAGATTCATGTTTGAATGAGCCAGTAATAAAATCGCATTTATATTTAACTAGTCTGTTTCATAAACAATGATATAACGTTATGTTCAACTTGCTATGAACTTAGTTGATCGAAATATATTAATCAACTAACTGCACTAACCGAAGCATAATGCCGTTACCACCCCAAAATCGACATATTAATTAAAACGGTAGTGCAGTAAATCAACAGTAAAAAACAAATGAAAATCAGTAACTGGATATTTCCTTATTTCACTATCTTTGCTGCCCGATCAAACACTCAA